TATCAAGATTTTCAGATATATGTATGTACAATTAATTTTTATAATTTATGGAATTTATATATAATAATAAGCTTTATGAAAATAAGCATAACTATGATAAGTTAAGTTAGGTTTATACAAATCGAATATTCGTAATATGCTGTATTGTGATCTTATCCGTTGAATCAGCTATATACTTGTAAAGTGATGTTTTTCTTCAATGCTACTTTTTTACTATTCATATTTACTATTCATATTCATATACTATATAAACACATTAGAATGAGAAGACGAATAAAAACGCGCAAAGATATTTTTACTTTGTTCATGTTTATTAAAAGAAAGTGGGTATTGAAGGAAAACTTCGCAATGAAAATAATGATTTTGACGATTTTATAATACAAACAGTTGACTATACTTCTATCTATGGATTTATCGTAAAACTGTAATATATATTATGTGTTCTTTTGCAAGATTTAACAATAATTGCGAAAATAAATTATCGAAAAACAGAAATTGTATGTATGTCCATTTTTTTCCGTTCAATATTCGTTGATCTTTTCGTAGATTTGTCTTCGACAATATCAATAAAAAATAATTATAATTAATTACAGAATTGCCATTTCATAAAAGATTTATTATATGTTTATATAAAATAATAATCGTATCACATCTTATATGCGGATAAACAAAATAAAAATGTTCTCTACCATTTTGCGTTTCTTGCTATAATTAATGAGAAATTAATTTAAAAAATAATAATAAAGGATCTAATAAAAATATTCAACAAATTAAGAAAAGCTAATTATGAGTTGAGCGTTGTAAATGCGTAAATTTTTTTCTTAAAATTTTTAGTTTGTTTCAGGCCATCATCATGATTGTCCAAAACCAGAACAGAAACGTATAATATATATTTAAAAAAAATAAAAAGAAGATATGATGTACTATTTATAACACTTAGTTCTTAATTAATCTTTTCCTAATTTGTTAATTAATTTAAAAAGATGACGTTAAAGACCGACTGAGAAATGAGAAACAAATTTTTTTTAAACTGGGACAAAAATTTTACAAAAATTTTTGTTTCCTGGTACAAAAATGTATGGCTCATTCCTTTTAAGTTTATTTCCTAATAAATTCATATTTTAATCAATTTTCTACGATTTTTCTTGATAAACTTATTGTTTTGAACTTATTGTTTTGAACTTATTGTTTTAAGGAAAGATTTGAATCTTATCATCTATTTTTATGAAGCATCTTGAATTGAGTTACACTTTAATTTCTTTTTTGAAAAAGTTTTCCATGATAATTTGTTTCTGAATTGCAGATTTTACAAGGAAAATTTCATTTTGTAACATTTTCTTTAAAACGATGTAACTTTGTCAAAAAAGAAATCATAGAAAATTTATTAAAATATAGATTTGTTAAGAAATAAATAAGCTTAAAAACATTTTTGTACCAGGGAGCCGATTTTCCCGATCAATGTAGCAATTTAAAAAAAAATGTGTTTTCTATTTCTCAAGGTCTATCTTCAGCATTTGTCATTTTGTAAAACATTTTTTGTAACTCAAATTTTAGTTTTTTTTAGTTTTTAAGAGACTGTTTAATTTGAGTTTTATTTTATATCAATACGGTAATTTTTTGTTGATTTGTTGCTATTAAAAGATGTTAAAATATTTTACTAAAATTTAGTAGTCTGTTTTTTTGAATGTGAATATATCCACCAAGTAGCTTTCAAAGATATCCAATGGATATTCATATATTTCTACGAGTTTCACGCCTTGTCGCTAGGTGGCGAAAAGAAAAACGCCTAACCCGAAAGTGGGATCCATCTAAATCCTGATCTACAATAGGTAATTTAAGCCCTAAGCCTTAAGAAACCAATCACAGTCGAGTATTCTCTTCATACTTGACTGTGATTGGTCAATCTCTTAAGGCTTAAGGCTTAAATTACCTATTGTAGACTCGGCCTAAGACAGTATAAGGCCGTGGCTGGTCCCGCGAGTCATGGCTTATCGGTCAAAGAACGCATTAGCTTGAAGACTGTTATAGCCGTATCTCTTCTTTTGTGAGAGGACTCTCAGAGCTCTACAGTTGTTCTTAAGAAAAAATATGGAATTGTTAATTGCAAATTACATATTTTTTCTTAGAAACAACTATGTGTTTTCTTTACACCAATTGATTTCTCTCATTATTTTGTACATAAAAGTATCCAGGTAAGATAATCGAAAAATGAATGGTTTACTAGATATTTTAAGGTTTATGTAAAATTAAGCAATTATTTCAAGCCTTATAACTCAAAAAGTACTTAATGTAAAGGTACTTAATTGTAGTGTTTTGGAAAGCTCTCGAGATAAGCTACAAGAATATGTAATGAAAAAAAGGGAGTTTCATTTAAGAAATTGAAGATAACCTTTATGCGACTTTCAAATGACTATCCAAGGTCAAATTTTTGACACCCATCTTCTGTCCCCCTCGAAGTCAAGCAACTTTTATTTGAAACATTTTGTTGTGCATTCAAATATAAAAAAGTTATTGGGGTGGATAAATTAAAATGGCTCACCCTGTATATTAATAATAAATGTATCTATATAAATATCCACTGAATGTTATATGGATATCTACAGGATATTGATTTATATATCCTATAGATATCTATGAAACTTCGAATTGCGGACATTTGAATATCTACAGCATCTCTAATGACTGTTTTTCGTATATTCATAGATATCCTTAGTGCCCATGAAGGATATATCTAGTAGATATCTAATATCAATTATTATCCGTATGGGTAATTTCAAATAATCTATTTAATACTCTAAATCCCAACAAAAGATCCAGATTATTAAACAAATTATTTTAAATTAAGTCAATTTATCACAAATTAAATTGATTAAAAAGAAGAAACGTACGGATCTATAGTACCAGTCATTTTATCCATTTCATAGTCAAATACGAGTTGATTTGAAGTCGCCGGCAAAGCGAAGAAACGCATGTAATATTATAATATTATATGTAATATAATATTATAATATTAATATTATAATATAATATTATAATATTAATAATAAAATATTATAATATAATATTATAATATTAATAATATAATATTATATGTAATATTATAGTATATCTTGAAAATATACAAAAAATAATATATTATAAAAGATAGTAAAAGTACATTCTGAGAGAATACACAAAAAATTATACTAATAAGAGATATCAAAAAATATCCTGAGAATATACGAGAAATAATATACTACAAGAAATGTTATGGGAACGTTCTAAATATATTACATCTGTAACATATATTCACAGTATAAGTATAGAATATTCGAATGATATATCATGTCCTGTTATATAGAAAACAGGTAACACTAATAATATAAAATAGACATATTTTTGGTAAGTATAGTCTTTGATAATTTAACCTTCTAAAACAAAATGTGCTAATAAAACACTAATAATATAAAATATATATTTTTGATAAGTATCGCCTTTAATAATAATTTAACTTTTTAATTTTTTAATTTAACTTTTTAAAACATAAAATACTCTTTTCAGAAGCAAACAACAAAAATATTTTAATTATTCTTTTAAATAATTGATATATAAAAGAAATATATTTAAAATTAGAAACAATATAGAAAACCTTTTGAAAGTATAAAGCATAAAAAAATTTAAAATAGTATAAAAAAGATAATAAGAAATTATCGAAATATCATAAATCGACAACAAATGAATTACTCCTAACAATCAGTTAATTTATGATATTTAGAATTGCATAATTGACTTTTTATATTTAGAATTGCACATTTGACTTTTTGCATATTTGCACAATTTAAAATTACACATTTTACTACAATTATTTATAAAAAAAGGAAAAGAAAGAAAAAAAATAAAAGGAAAAACGATGAACAAATTTCTCAAAAAATTGCGGTCACTAGATATTAAAACTGCAGGCTTGCTGCTGTTTTGCGCGCTCTTCTCCCGCAGGGGAGATTGGGACTAGCGTGGTCACGTTCCGGGTCTTGTGTCAGCCATCCCCCGCAGCAGTTGGATTTTACTTTGCAGCTACTTCATCTCTAAATCACATTTAATTCTTGTTCGATTGATGACCTGAAAACTCATACTATTGTATAAATTATATATATTTATATTTAATGTATCCATCCATTTTTTGATTTTGTTTTTTCAATGAATAAAGTTACTATCAATTATTTCTTTTATTAAACAATTAATTTTGTTTCGCAATCACCCTGAGATCGCATTCGATTCTATCCCAGGTAAGAATTAAATTCCTTTCTTTCTAGAACAAAGGTCGCCAATAACCTAAAACAAAATAACGTGAGATCGACGTTTCTAGTTGTTAACTTATTTTTCACATCTGACGATCATTTCACTGGAGGCAAATGTTTTAGTGTATGTTTTCGGGAAATATAAGTTACATTTTTTTCGTTTCTCCAGATCTAGACGTAACATAATATTATATATAATTAATCATTGGCTTTTATTTGTTTCTATCATCATAAAGTAAAAGTATTGTAAATCTGAGAACTATTATTTATATTTCTTTATTTACATATTTATTTATGATTTTTTATTTATTTATTAAATTGCTAATATTTACATAAATTGTTGCTATAAATTTATTAGTTGTTTTATTGAATATATTTTAATTACAAAGGAAAAATATAATATATGTATAATATACATATTCTAATCAAAAAGCATTTTGTAACAATATTTTTGTTGTGTAAAACTATTTCACAAAATATGAGAACTTATAAACACGTATTCTATTTTTTATTAATTATATATATTAATGCCGTAAAATATAGGATTTTTTAATAATTATATGTAATGAAATTTCTAGAAAATATATATATAGAATTAAAAAGAAAATTATTAAGAGTAAGTAATTAACTGCAAATATCGAAATATACTATTATATAATATTTAATAAAATAGTACTTATATATTATATATAAATAGTACTTATACATGCAAATAATATATAATTATATAATTTCACAAATATCCATATATTAAAAACGACCCATCACTATTTGATCACTAGCATGAGTTTTATCTTTTCGATTATTTTCAGATGATTCGTCCTGAGATTCTTCTTCTAATTCCCAAACAAACTGATCATCAAATTTCTGTTTATCGGTAATCCAACTGCACAGGGACGTACGTAGAAATAAGCCTATTAATGAAATTATAAATGTATATAAGATAAATTATATATGTATAAAATAATTTATTTTAATTTCTTCAAACTAATTTCTCGAAAATCATACATTTTAGAAAACAATGATAAAAATTATAGAAAAATGTTGCATTATCCAGGATTAACAATATGAATATAATATTTGTTTCCTATAAAGTACTCGAATGACATAAGTTAAAAGATTCTTATTATCAAAGAATCCTTGATTAAAAAAGGCTTAATTATATTATTTTGAAATTTTTTTAATATTAGAAAATTTTTTAATGTAAAAATGTGTAATAAAAATACACATACATTCAAACCTATATATATCCATACTCACACTCACAATCACATTCACACCTACTTCACTCATACCCACGCAGACATACAAAGTGATTTATAAGTCACGATCAAAGAAATAACTTATTTCTCAGTTCAAATAAAATGGAAATCCGTAAACGAAAATGTCAAGATTATACTACTTTTTAAATAGAAAGCGTTTAAAATTAATAAGTACTTCAAAATTTACACGTGCAGATAAAGTACACATTTTTTATAAAAAGACTTTATGGAGATTTGGAGATTAATTTTTCATTAATCTTGAATTAGTTTTTCTATGAGAAAAGTATTCTTTATAAAAAAACTATTAAAATTAGAACAATGTTTAATTTTAAATAAAAATGTATAAATTTTAATTTGAATGAATATTTAACGAAAAAATAAAAAAAGAGTATATATATATATATATATATATATATATATATATATAGGAGAGGGAGACAATCAGCGCCACCGCGGGTGCAGAGGAAGAAAGTAGAAAAAGCGAGAAAGGATTAGATGGTAAAACAGATAGGCAAAGAAGGGAGGAAAGTGGCAGAGAAGGAAAAAAGGAAGGGCCAACAACAAATAGAAGAGGAAGACCGAACAAGGCAAACAATCTCACGAGGGAAAGATCAGGAAGCGAGGGGTCAATTTTAGAGCATATATTTAAAAGGAAAAGAGAAATAATACAAGAAGAAGAAGACAACGCAGGAAAAAATAAACGCAAGAATAGTTGCACGGAGATAGAAACAGGCAAGGAAAAGGAAAATAAGAAAGTGCACGGCGAGCAGCAAAAAGGAGAAGAGACAAAAATGGCGGAAAAACAAGAGCTGGATGATATGAGCGATAGAGAAATTCTAATGATGCTGACCAGACAATTACAAACCATGCAGATAAGCATGAAAGCAGAAAAAGATGAAATAAGAGAAGACATGAGGAAGCTGAAGGAAGAAATAGGAGAGAACAAGAGAAAACAGGAGAAAAGAGAGAAGGAGATGGAAGAAAGAATAGATAAGAAAATAGGACAGATTGAAAAAAAACTCGAAAAGACAAAAGGAGAAGAGATGAGAAACATTGAAGTGAGATTGGACCAAATGGAAAGAAAAATTGCTCAAAAAGAAGTAACGATGAAAGAAGAAAATGCGGGTGTATACGAGGATCAAATGAAAAGAATGCTAAGAGTACTAGAAAAAAGAGAGAGAGAGGACAGAAGAAGAAATTTGATCATCAAAGGATTTGGAAAAGAGGAAGACACGACAGAACTAAAAGAAAAGGTTGAACAATTCTTTAAAGAGAAGTTTAAAACTGAGGCAGAGATAGAATCAGCCAAAATTACAGGAAGCAGGAATTACATATTAGTGAAAATGAAAACGGAAGAAGAAAAAGGAAAAATCATGAGAAACAAGAGATTATTAGGCAAAGAAGAAATTTATATAGAGCATGATAGAACAAAAACAGAGAGAGATATACAGAGAAAAGTAGTAGAGATAGCAAAGGGAGAAAAAGCAAAAAAGAAAGAAGTTATAATCAAATACTGGAGAGTCAGAATGGAAGGAACTTGGTATAGGTGGGATGAGAGAGAAGAAAAGTTAAAGATACAAACATTTCAAAGGAAAACGGAGACAAAATGAAGGAGGAGGAAAAGGAAATAAAGGAAGATGGCAGAAAGAAGCAAGCAAAAAGAACTTAAGATTATTATTCTGGAACGTAGCGGGACTAACAAGGAAGGACGAGGATTTCTGGAAATATATAGAGAAGTTTGATATAATAAATTTGTCAGAAACATGGGTCGAAAAAGAAGCGTGGAAGAGAATAGAAGGCAAGCTACCAAAGGACTATAACTGGGAAGCGCAACATGCCACAAGAGACAAGAAAAAAGGGAGAGGAATAGGAGGCATGATGACAGGAATAAGGAAACAGTTCAAGAGAATAAACGTGAATAAGGATACAACAGACATGATAGCTAATGAGCTTGTTATAGGGAAAGAAAAATGGAAGATAATATCGATATACAACAGAGCAGGCAAGAGGAGTTACCTGGAGAAAATAGTGGAAGAAGCAGACGAAGAAGAAAGGAAAAATATAATAATGGGTGGTGATTTCAACGCAAGGACAGCAGAAAAAGGGGGTCTGATATGGGACGGAGAAGAGGATGAGGAGAAAAGAAACTCGAGAGACAAGATTATAAACAAACAAGGAGAAGACCTAATTAATGAAATACAAAAAACAGATCTAGGAATATTAAATGGCAATACTGAAGGGGATGAAAAGGGAGATTGGACATATGAAGGACCACAAGGAAAATCGGTAATAGACTACGCAATATGTAACATAGAAGCATGGGAAAAAGTAAAACAATTAAGGATTGGAGAAAGGACGGAGTCAGACCATATGCCTCTAGAGATAATGCTGAACACAGAACTACAGGAAGAAAGGAATAGGGAAAAGGAAAAAGAGATACAAATAGAAGACTGGTCAGAGGAAGGATGCAGAGAATACATAGAAAAATTAGAAAACAGAAAAGAAACAGAAGGATCAATACAATCGGAGTGCGACGAACTCAGAGAAGAAATTGGAAAGGCAATAACCAAGAAAAAAATAATAAAAAAGGAGTTCAGAATTGGACAAAAGAAATGGTGGGATAAAGAGTGCAGGGAGAGCAAGAGAAACTTAAATAAGGTGCTAAGAAAAATGAGAAGAGGAGAAATAGACAGGAAAGAATACATGGCGAATAAAAAAATACATGAAAAACTGTGTAAAGACAAACAGGAAAAGGAAAGAGAAAAGGAGCAGAAGAAATTGATGGAAATTAAGGATAGTAATGAAATTTGGAGATACATCAAAAAGGAAAGAGGCAGAAGAGAATGGCCGGACGAAAGCATAACAGACGAGCAATGGAAAAGTCACTTCATGAACCTACTGGAAGGAAGTGAGACAAGGAAAGAAGAAGCAAATAAGCAAGAGAAGAATGAGGGAAAAGAAGAGGAAAAAATAAGGATCACAACAGAGGAAGTTAGAGAAGCAAAAAAGAGGCTAAAAAAAAAGAAAGCGGCAGGAGAGGATGGTCTGAGAAATGAGACATGGATAATGGCAGATGAAAACACAATAGAAAGGCTAAAAAAGATCATACAAAGAATAAGCGATGAAGGAGAAATACCAGAAGGATGGAAGGAGGGATGGATTTATCCAATACACAAGAAAGGAGAAAAAAACAAGGCAGAGAACTACCGTGGAGTAACACTGATGGATACGGCATACAAAATATACGCTATGGTACTAGAAGGAAAACTAAGGAAGGAAGTGGATAGGATAAAAATACTGCCAGAAACACAAACGGGTTTCAGGAAGGGAAGAAGCGGGATAGACAACATATATATAATGAAGACAGCAATAGAAAAGGTATTAAACAGGAAAGGAGGTAAAATGTTTGTGTTCTTTGCAGATCTTAAGGCGGCCTTCGACAAGGTGGACAGGAAAAAATTATGGAGTAGTTTAAGAAGAGCAGGGATAAACGAAAAGTTAGTAAGGAAAATAGAAGAACTATACAGAGAGACATCATGCAGGGTTAAGATTGGAGAAAGAATCACAGAAAAATTCTGGACTGAAAGAGGTTTAAGACAAGGATGTCCGCTGAGCCCTTTGTTGTTCATCATATTCTTAGCGGATATCGAAGAATATCTAAACGCAAGAAAGGATGGAGGAACAGTAATAGGGCGAATGAAATTATATACACTAGCATATGCAGATGACTTAGGAATTATGGCAGAAACAGAAGAAGAAATGAAAAGGATACTGAAAAGTTTGGAAAAATACTTCGATAAAAAAGGACTAACGCTAAATGCCGGAAAATCGAAAATATTGGTATTCAGCAAGAAAGATAGGAAAATGAAGGAAAGGAAATGGAAAGGAGGAAATGGAAGGAGGTGGAAAGAAGAAGAGATTGAAGAAGTAAAAGAATTTAAATATTTAGGATTTACATTCATGAAAAACAACAAAGATGAAGCGCATATCAAAGACGTAAAAAGAAAAGCAGCTGCAGCCATGACACAGATATGGGGAATAGGAGAGAGAAAATTTGGTGGAGATGTAGCAAGAAGAATCATGATGTTCAATGTTCTGATCAAAAGTATCATGCTATACGGTGTGGAAGTATGGGGCTGGGAAGAAAAGAAGGAGATAGAAAGAATGCAAGAAAGGTACATGAGATGGATTCTTGGACGAGATAGATGTACACCAGGATATGTGGTGAGAGAAGAATTAAAAATAGAGAACATCAGCATAGAAGCAGGGAGTAGAGCATTAAAGTTTCAAGAAAAAATGAAGAGGCAATCAGAAAATAAGATTCTGAGGGAATGCAGAAGAGAAAATAGCAAAGATTACTGGAAGAGAACAAGATGGGGAAAAGCCATGGAAAAAATGTATCAAGAAGGCGGCCGAGAACGATGGGAATGGGAAGCAAGAGATGACAAGGGAGAGGGTATAATCGAAGAATGGATAAAAAACAGGAAAGAGGAAAAAAAGAAGGAAAGAAGGAAAAAGATAGAGGAATCAAAATCAACAAAGGAGTACAAAAGATGGTTCACCGAAGACAGACCAAAGTATCTAGAAATAAAAGGAAAAGGAAGAAAGATAAAAACCATAGCGAGATTTAGATGCGGAAACGAATGGAAGGG